TACTCTCACACTCACTACCTCTACATTAAGTATTTTAGCACACAACACTCCTCACATGTTGATTTTTGCTGAGGGAGGAAAACCGGAGGACCCGGAGAAAAACCCTCGTGGTAAGGGAGAGAACAACACATCAAACCATAAACTCAAACTCACATATGGTCCGTGCCCGGGAATCGAAGCTGGACCACAGCGGTGAGAGGCCAGCAGCTTAACCACTAGACCACCCATGCCACTCATAGCTACAAACTATGAGTGAAAGGATGATGCAAGAATGAATGTTACGGAGCTTGTCAATCGATAAAAGTTTGTCGTTTCTTCTAACTTTTTCCCCCTGAACGCGTAAAAAATTCATTACAATATGAAAGCTATCATGACACCTATCGAGATTTCACACAGACACATGGAGAGTGTCTCAAGCTGAGTGTTTAGCATGACATTGGCAACCGAGACAGTCAGCACCGATCAGAGCAAACCTTTCTTCTCATTGGTTGAGAAAACAATGGACAAACAATAGATAAGTCCACCAAAAATGAAGTCAATACCTAACCTGCCAATAGAGCTGCTGTAACTAAGGAGCAATCAAAAAGCAGCTTTTGATCCATGCAGTGCATTACTGACAGCTTGCATGATATTACCCTATCACCCCTCATGATACTCAGGTTGTTTGCCGGATCGGTGAATTTTATTTATCTTTATATGTTTTGTGTTACAAATTAGCATTTCAATGGGTTTTGTTTKGTAATGACGGCGGTCATCACAAAGCTGAGCTGGCTGTAGGAGAGCATTAAGATGGGATGATATGGGAAGAAGGAGCGGCCAGTTAAACTGAACGTGATTTTTGCAGTTCCATTACTCTTTTTTTTAAAACGTAGGCAACGTACTGCTTTGTCCTCTTTCGTTCTTCTTTGTCCCCTTTCTTTTGAAAAGCAATATTAGAGTGTTTCAAAGGGAAATTTCATTGATAACTTCGCCATTCAAAATCGAGCAGTTAATGAAATCAGCACCCTCACCACTATAAAGAACGGGCTGAAATTTGTAGCAAAGTGTAAGAATGATCCACTGGCTACTGCAATTTCACATACTTTCGCCATTCATTTCTTTACATTAAAAATTTGGAGAATTTKAGAAGATTTATCCTGAACTTTCAGCTCTTTATTCTGAAACTTTGATTGGTACGTGATGTACTAATTTTAGGCCTTATGGGAATGGTTTTCACTATAGAYTAGTGCTTGATCACGCTGAGTTGTCCATGGTCCACGATAAACTAATCTAAATGAACACTGGAAAGGCCGGGCAAAACAACAAAAATTCGATCCGATTTCTTTGCATACTATAACTAAATCTGCACCTAAAGATATTAACTAGAAAATTTATAGATCTTTTTTAGGGTATCAGCAAAATTTCTATTCGATCATTATGTTGTGGTTTTGCCTGACTTTTACATTTTGTGATGCAGGCTATTGTTGAAAATTGTAACCGGTAGTTTACTTGGAGTTCTCTAAAAGCCGATGATTTGAGCTAAAGGAGCCAACGACCTTGTCCGTCGGGTTTCACCGTACCAACATTTACCTCCATGACCTTAAATCCTCGTAATAGTGCGTGTTCCAGAAACRGCCTAACCCTTTTTTCAACAATCGACCATTTTTATTATTAAGGTTGTGGGTATGGTCTTTGGATTAAAGTATACTTCCAAAGATAAAGCGACGGCATTACACCCACGAAGTGAAATGTTCGCTCAAAATCTATCGTTTTGCACGGTGGAAATCGGCTTAAAGACGTCTTATATGGATTTGTTTTCTACTATTTTGCATTCATTTCAAGTTGCAAAAGTTATGATGTCGAGATAACATATGATAAAGAAGTTTTTTAGAAYTCTCAGTTCTTGAAGAACGTGAATAAACCTTTAAAATTATCTTTGGTGCATGTCACCATAGGTTATAGATTACTTGAGTTATACTGACAAGAGACAGTAAACATTTTGTTTTAGATATCGCGCTGCTATTGACAATATTATACAATCATTTCATTATCAACTCGTACTTGTAACTTGTTTAGCAGACTATTATTGACACTCTTAACCCTCGCATGATGACTATTACAGAGCTGTGAATAGTGCTGTCGAGTAGATATTATAACACAATCACTAACCTCAGAACAGTACGTATCTTGGATATTTCGTTGGAGCGGTATAAGTTGATATTCTTTGAACGAGCTCTGTCGTTGCGAATGACTCATCAATCGTCTTTGCACTAGTCTTTCCGTCAGGAATTATCAAATGCTGCCTTTGATTGGGTGAGCTCAGTATAAACAAGGTGTGTCATTGCCAAACGCCGCCTAAAGTCATGTGATGAAGAAGCTGAAATAGAGTGCATATTACATAATATATCAATAGACTTGTGTGTATTCTGCAAAAAAGAAAACATAAGGTAACTACGAATGTGCACAGAAGGTTGTTATTAACTATTTAACTTTGCAGACAAGTTCAGAAAATATAAAAGATATCATAGACGGAGAAAAGTCAAAATCACAAGAAAACGAATTAAATACA